AAGATATTTGGCTCTTCTTATTATAGGGACATTCTAAAATGCAAGAAGCTATAGGTAATGCCCGATAAATCTAGTTCCCAGCAAAGCGTCGATGTTAGCATTGTTGGCATATTACCCTACACTCTATTCTATTTACAGAATTCCCTAATGGTTACTGTCTGGTCTCAAGTTGTCTGTCTTGAAGAGATAGGCTAGTTGCTTGATTTTTGCCCATTATCCCTCTGGCCAATTCGCCTTTATAAGACGCGTCTCTGTCCCCAACGGCCATTCTCTGTTTATGCTGATCTTCATACAACAAGCCATGGCTTGCAAACTGCAATCACTATGCTTCATGAACTTTATGAATTTGAAATTTATATATTGGAGTACTTAATATATAAATTATTAAAATGTCTTGGTTCTTCAATAACATTAATGAATATCTTGGGCTTAAAATATCCTTCTCTATATGTATATTGAATGAAAAGCGGGGTCGGACCCAAAATGAGGTAAAACTTGACTAAAGCAGCTCCTCATCTTCCAACTCATGGCACATAGCCAATTGATGTCATTTCAATGAGACCGTTATCAGCGTGTATAGCATGCCGGTATGCAATGCTCTCCACTTCTCAAGGATACTCTCTCACATTAAAGACTCTAGTGATCGGCGGAAAAAGTGCGATCGCTCTCGACCAGGACTAAGTTGCAATTTCTGCATCAAGAGAGGCCTCGATTGTGTTGGAGTCACAGACGACCCTGCCCCCGACACTTTGGAAAAACATTACGAGTCACTTGGAAATCAGGCAGAAGATGGCCGTCCTCGCCGTGTCTCGTCACTAGTTGTGCCTGACGCCGCTCTGGCCGAGGAGTTGGCGAGTCTCTATTTTCGGTACATGCACATCACGTTTCATAACATCTTCCATCGTGCAACGTTCATGGCTCAGGTAAAAGACTCTTCTATCCCAAAAATTCTATTCTTTGGTGTGGCAGGTCTGTCAGCGCGCTATTCGACACATCCCATCTTTACGTCCATTACGCCGTGGGATAGAGGACGGCCGTATCGGGATGAAAGTAAGAGGTTTCTCGACCTGGAGGATACTTCATTGATTAGTATCCAAGCTTGCATGTTGCTCGCAGCAAATGCATCTGTCGAGGGAGATTCTAGGACCGAGTCGGTATATCACGCAATTGCTTCTCGGATGGCTATGCTGTTAGACCTTCCAAACCTACCAACCGAGTCTCTTCTGGAGCAGGAAATCAATAGGAGAGGTAAGCTGAGCTTACTCTGAAACGAAAGTGAGGTGCTTACTCTGTTATCTAGTATGGTGGTCTCTCATTACAACTGAGACATGGTCAAGCGCAACTCAATCTCTTCCCAGGTTTATAAAACCACGAAACACCATCCCGCTGCCCATGGATGAGCGTCAATTTGCCTCATTGAGCTATGATGTATCAACGACGTCGCCTAACTCGTCGCTTTGCGCATCACCTACTTGCACCTTCGATCCTCAGTCCTTGGTCGCCCAGATGATCCGGCTTAACCTCTTACTTTACGATATCATTGTATTTCTCAACTCACGAGTAGTGGATGAACAGGAGGATCATCCGATGAGTGTAGAATTCGATCATCGACTTCGACATGCCCTTGATGAGTGGGCCGACAACCTACCTCCAAGACTTCGTTATTCCGAGGAAAATGTGATGTACTGGGCTGAGGAGGGCTTCAGTGCTATTTTTATAACACTGCATATCAATTATAACCACGCCGGCCAACTCTTATTCTACCAGCACCTTCAATCTGCTCAAGAACACGACCAAGACGACAATTCTACACAAGGATTTGCCCAGCGATGTAAACAGCACGCAACAAACTTGTGTGATCTCATCTATGAAGCGAAACGGCGACCAGACACGGCTGTTTTGTATCCGCTTGCTGGCCATATTCTATGCCTTGCCTCTACGGTTCAGATCCATACACTTCTTTTTGGGATAGACGATGACGAGATCCTCGCTGCTAAGACACGGTTGGAAAGAAACTTTGAGATGATTTCATCAATGAATAATTATTGGCCTATGAACCATATGTCGATCAGCCGGCTACAGCATTTCCATAATGCCTGTCTTCGGAGCAAGGATGACTCATTTCGTTTAGACGCTTGGATGATTCGATTTTTATTGGGCTTTACGCAGGATATCAACGATAGGGATGCAATTTGGACGTATGGCCATCGCGCGCTGCATGAGTTTGACCCACTGAGGGATCTCTTGGATATTTGATCCTACTTGAACTAAGGCTCATTTATTGTCTGAGTAGAAGAAGTGACTCTATTCAAGCTAGGTTCCAGCAGCAGGTTGCACGTACTTGATTCCATCAAGCACCGTTGTCAATGTTCCGTTCGTCTCCATGATGTTAACCGAGACATCTATCTCTAGTTCAAACCCGTCTTGACTTGTGACTTTAGTACCTTCCACTACTCCAGTTTGCGTGATGTTGGAGAACCATTCCACTCGGTCTTTCCAAACGTTGGGAAGTAACTTCCACTTGGAAACCTTTTCATATCCGTCAACGATGTAGCCTGCGTGATCGGAATAGTTGCTATAGGAAGCCGAGATAGTTTGGATGGCACCAGTGTCGGGGTCTTCAATGAAGGCAACCTCGGCAACGCCTGACAGCTGACCCTCTAGTGTATAGTTGCCGGCTGGGATCTCATACTGCTTTGGTGTTGTGCTACCAGCGGGGAACGGTTTCGCCCAAGGGATAAAGTTGGGAGCTTTGAAGACACGTGCTGGCTTTGAAGGCTTCAGAGAGGTACGACGAGCAAGCATGACGCGGTAATTGCGACCTCCTTGGGCAGTAGAAACTGGGCATGGAAGAGGATTGGCTCCACCGCAAGAAGGAGAAACGACAAGAGCTTGCCAGTATACAATCATGGTGCTGTCAGGAGAAACGGCTGGATCAGCTCTGCCATTCCAGTTGGGATCATTGACGCTCCCATCGCTTCCGTCGCCGTCCGCATTGACCTGCTGACCGAAATAGTTGCCACTATCTCCATTGTGACTAATCAGGATTGGCTGGAAGAATCTTCGCGGTCCGTTATTGCGCGTTGACGAAGCGATGGCCACAACGAGGTAATCGATAACAGGAGGGATCCATCTCATACCAGACATAAACATCTGGCGACCTACAACACGCGTGTCCATAGCGACGATCCATTGATTATCGTGCGACATGGTAATTGGGTCAGTATAGTCGGGATGACTAGTAAGGCGACGGATAGCCCCAGTGGTAAGGTGGACGGCCATGACATCGATGTTGTTGGCTTCCACGGGAGATCCGATGTAGAGAATCTCATCGCCCGAGCCACTGAAACCACGAAGTTCGCCGGGTGTGATTGCATCATGGTTGACGATTAACTTTTCGCCTTCCACGTACATGGGTGGTTTGCCATTTTTGTCGACGAGAATGTTCACATCAACCAGGTCATAGCGAGGAACAAGAGGCTCCCCAACCTTTGGGTCGGCGTTGAATTTCAGGCGGCCAAAGTAGGTATACTGGCCTCCAGTATTGGTGAAGGAGCTCCAGCCCATGTGCTCGTCGTCGGGATGAAGGCGCATCTCTCGAGGGGAGCCACCTTTTCCAGTCCCATCGGCGGTCACAGTCCAGTGAATGGGATAGATGTGAGTATTGCTCGGAGTACAATCATTGCTGGCCAACGGTTTTCCACCACAGGAGACAATGTTATGACCCCACAGCGCCTTATCACCACTTCGAAAGACGTGAGGATAATCTCTCTGGGGATCAAGCCCGGGAGCATTCTTTGACGGAACACCACAGGTAATACACTTCCACGGATCACCGTTGGGGAAGTTGGTACCATCCGTGGTAATAAGGATCAATTGTTCGCCATCATAGATGCTCGCAGGGTCTGGAGCTGCCGGGGCACCAATGAAAACAACATTGACCACGATGTGCTTCCCATCGGGCGTGAAGTCTCCTGATTGGAAATCTTGCTCTCCTCCAGTATCTACACCGATGCAACCGGTGCCGTGGGGATTGATTTTGGCGGTACAAGCACCTGTAGCATTGCTTGAAACTACAGGAGGCAAGGGGAGCTCGACAACCTCGATGGGCTCCGGATTGGGGGGTTCCGGAAAATGAGGTGAGTATTGTCCTGAAACAGTGGGTGCCAACAGAGTGGCACCCAATGCTATGAGGGAGACTGGAAAGATCGGCATGTCTTGAGAGTGTTGAGTGCGACCAATGCGAGTCGAAGCAATGCTTTATTGACTTGTACCAACTGCAGAAAGGGCTTCTGAGTCACTGACTTTATAGTCGCTGTCTTGGCTGGAAGCTCAGCCAATTTTGTATCCTCGGATAATATCTGAGTTACGAGTATTCTTCATGTGCATCTACAGTGGGCGACGATATGCTTCGATATCTGGCGGGTAATTGTGGGAGTAGTCTAACCGAACAAAGCCCTTAGGCCACCGACGAGGATCTTAATAATTGGTGTGTTTGAGCATTTTCCCCGACATCGAAGCAGGTTGAAGACTAAAACAACTAGACATGGGTATCAGTGTCTTAGATGATATTCCATCTTTTTGCAGACAATCGGGGATACCACTACAACGCTAAGACCTTGGATCATTGTACTCTAAGCTGAATCTGGAGTAAATTCCAGGTCCTAGCAGTGCGATGCTTCCCCAGATTTTCCTCATCCCCGTGGGGAACAGGAAACATGAGGGGGCAGTGTGGTGTTGACAGAACCATATTGAGAGCTAAGTCAAGCTGACAACAAACTTTCAACGTCGGAAATGCTGTCGGAATATCTGAAAAGGTAGACAGGCCCGTGAACTAGTCAGCATGACGTGTGGGGGAGAGTATCCGAGGTTATAAGCGAAGCCGCGTACCGCTTGAGACCTCATTGGCCCGTGTGCAGAGTACCCCATGGATCAATCATCAGTTATAGTGGATACATAAAATTCACTCATGATCACGGTCGCTCTAGTTTAGAGGTGGAGTTTTACGATGGGTTTCCCGACGATACTGGATAATGGGTGCAGATGGATGTGAACGTGACATATTGAAGGGAGGTCAATGTCAGACTTTTTTGTTTCACCACCAATTCGCTCCCGGGATAAATTGTAGCGAAAAAGCTTATACGCACCAGCTTCGTATTCGGAACTCACCAATTTGTTTGAGGACATTCACACCCTGTTCAATATGCTGCCAGTAACTGATGTACGCTTCGAGCATTATCACCCTCCTAATACTCTTGGAGTTCAAAACTCTACGCCACGAATCTCTTGGAAGATCGCACACCACGACACTCGCGGCACACAAAATGGATACGAGATCGAGTTGACCAGGTACGGTCCTAGCCAAGAGGCCCACGACGTATTGACTGCAAGTCAACAGTCCCAGGAAAATATTCTGACTCCATGGCCGTTCAAAGAGCCTCTGCAGTCTCGTGAGCATGTATCAATTCGTGTTCGAGTCTGGGACGAGCAGGAGGAAAAGAGTCCCTGGAGTGAGCCTGCCTATCTTGAAGTAGGGCTATTGCATCGGTCAGATTGGACCTGCGAACGCATCGCCGCCCCGTGGGCTTCAGAAACGACAGGAGCTAGCCCTGAAGACTTGTTCCGCAGGCAATTTGTTCTTCGCGACTCGCCTGTCAAAGCACGACTCTATATCACCACCCAAGGAGTCTATGAAGCTGAGATCAATGGGCAACGCGTCGGTGATTATTTCCTCGCTCCGGGATGGACATCCTACGATGGGCGACTCCAGTATCAGACTTATGATGTTATTTCGCACCTAGTCAACGGTTTGAATTGTATTGGAATTAGAGTTGCAGAGGGATGGTTCTGTGGCCGTATTGGGTTTGAAGGCGGACACAGAAACATATGGGGTCCTCATACTGCTGTTCTTGCGCAGTTGGAAGTCACTTACGCGGATGGGCAAACCTGCAGAATAGAGAGCGATGGTTCATGGAAGGTTATACAAGGCCCAACTCGCCTGGCGGAGATATATGACGGGGAAAAGTATGACATGATGATGGAGGTGTCGAATTGGTCATCGGTGACGGATGAAGAGAGTCTGAAAGGTTGGACAAATGCACAAACGCTGACATTCCCACCTGAATCTACACAGCTTGTGGCAGGCTTCGCAGAACCAGTGCGTCGGATCGAAACCATAAATCCTGTCATAGAGATCACGACACCAAGTGGAAAAAGAGTCCTTGACTTTGGTCAAAATCTCGTCGGATATTTGCGTCTATCAGGCATCAAAGGATCCAATGGACACAAGATTATCCTTCAACATGCTGAAGTCATGGAGAACGAAGAGCTTGGTATTCGACCCTTGAGAATATGCCAAGCGAAGGATGAGATCACCCTAAAAGTTTCACAGAAAGAGCTATGTTGGGAACCAAGATACACTTTTCATGGATTTCGGTACGCTCAGATTGATAATTGGCCCGGTTCCTTTGATTTATCCTGTATCGAAGCTGTCGTGTGTCACACGGACATGAAACCCGCTGGTCACTTCTCGTGCTCAGACCCGCTACTGAATCAACTGTATCGGAATATCGTTTGGGGTATGAGATGTAACTTTCTTTCGGTACCGACTGATTGTCCTCAGAGAGATGAACGACTGGGCTGGACAGGAGATCTGTCTCTCTTTGGCCCTACGGCATGTCTCATTTATGACTGCTTTAGCATATTGAAGAACTGGCTAATTGATCTTGCATATGATCAAGATGTTCTTGGTGGTGTTCCCCCGATGGTCAGTCCGAATGCTACTCTCCCAGATCCCATCTGGTGTAGAAGAGTGCCATGCGCCATTTGGCACGATGTCACGATCATAGCACCATGGGTTCTTTATCAGGAGAGTGGAGATGAGAGCATCTTGACCCAGCAGTATGACAGTATGATGAAGTGGATGAAGGTGCTTCCTCGAATGAAGTCTGGACTATGGGATCCCAAACCGTTTCAACTCGGGGTAAGTTCTCCACCAAGATATCTGGAAGTCAGTAATGCTGATATTGGAATAGGACTGGCTTGATCCCGCAGCGCCGCCAGATCAGCCATGGAAAGGCGCGACGGACGCCAAAATGGTGTCAAATATGTTCTTGCTACAAAGTTTAGATCTCATGAGCAAAATATGTGGCGTGCTGGGACGGAAGGATGAACAACAGATATTCAATGAGGACTACCAGGCCACACGAGTTGAGTTCCAGCAAGAATACGTCACACCTCGGGGGCGTCTTACTTCAGATTCGCAAGCTGCATACGCACTTGCTATCTGTCTTGACCTCCTCGACCCAGCGCAACGGGTACGAGCTGGAGATCGTCTTGTGGAGCTCGTACGCAAGAATGAGTTCAAAGTCGGCACAGGATTTGCCGCCACGCCATTCCTTTGCGAAGCCCTTGCATCTACTGGCCACATCCAAGTTGCATACGCGATGCTACTCGAAAAAGGCTGCCCATCGTGGCTATACCCGGTAACTATGGGTGCAACCACAGTCTGGGAGAGGTGGGACAGCATGCTGCCTGACGGTTCTATAAACCCGGGAGAAATGACCTCATTTAACCACTATGCCTTTGGAGCTATAGCAAAATTCATGTATGAACGAGTTGCCGGGCTGCAGAGACTTGAGCCCGGATGGAGGCGAGTTCGTATCTCTCCCGCTATTGGCGCTACCTTTTCTCGAGCTGCTGCGTCGCATGTTTCTCCTCAGGGCACTATTTCTTTTGAGTGGGAAACGAGCGTTGTTGACGGAGATCAAGAAGAATTTGCTATCAAAGCTACGGTTCCGCCAAACACTGTTGTCGAGATTATTCTTCCTGGTTTGGAAAGGAAAGAGGTAAAGAAGGTTGGCTGTGGTGAGTGGACTTTTAGATCACTCTTTAGAAGAGAGTATGAGTGGCCTGTTTCGCCGCTGCCACCGAAGGCATGAGAAGGGATCTTAATGGTTATGACTTGAGTTATCTATGGTGTATAGAAATACTGTGATAAGCTGCTTATAAGCCCAATGTAGTAGAACTTAATAAAACCCTACTAATATGTAGAAATCCAGAGAAAGTTCAAGTTCAGCTTATTAATACGAACTTGTTATTTAAGAAAGTTTATTTATTTAATTAAAAAGAATTAAAAGTTTAATAATAATACATGAATAGAATACTAAAAAAGGAATAATATATTTAACAAATATATTCACTAGATAAATATATTAAATACTTTCTCTTTTAACTTATAAGCTAGCCCTCCTTGCCTAACTTATAAGTTAAAATAGTCTTTTTTTAATAATTAAATTTATCCTTAAATAGCTTAAGAACTACTTTATAAGTTCTTATATTATATTTACCTTTATTATATATATTACAGATATTAATAAGTCTTTCTAATAAAGAATACTTATAGAAAGATAAATCAAGTAACGTGGTTGATAGGCATGCTGACCGGACAAGTATGCTGACCAGAAATCTCAACCATTTGGCTTTATATTGGTATAAAACCACCACAAACTAGCTAATTAATTAAAACTATTCGCTATACTCTTCCCCAGATATCTCAATAACTACCTGACAGGTCCTTGCATTATGTCCGG